TACAGCATCGGCAGTTCTTAATATCTCTGAGCAGTATAGGTATTCCTTCTTTAAGTTCTGAGTGTAAGTTATCACCTGGGTGAAGAAGAGAGAGAATGACGAGAGGGGAGAGGGAAGAGAGAAGAGTGAGCTGAGGAGACCACACAAGAGAAGCCAGACAGATGTGGAAATGTAGAGGACGATGAATGGGACAAATGCGGTTTCAAAGGCAGCAGAATTATCTGAAAAGGAGAAACAGCTCAAATAAAAGCAAAATACTGCAGATGCTACAAATCTCAAATAACAAGGCAGGAACTCAGCAGCTCTGGCAGCATCTGTATGAGTTCTAAAGAAAAGCACTCTGGAGTTTCTCTCTCCACAGATGCTGCTAGACTTGCTGAGTTTCTTCAGTGCTTTCTGGTTTTATTTCAGATTGTTAGCAGTTGACAGGCAGCAAGGGATGGAAGGAGGGAGAGAGGAAAATCCAGTAAGATCAGATTTACACTTGTTACGTTAACAAGAGGCGGAGAGAGGGTGAGAGGAGGGTAGGAGAGGTTCGGAGAACAGAGTAAAGCTCAATTTCTCCATGTGATACCCCAGAATTGCTGGGTAGAGGGGAACCTTTGTCCACAATAAAGCAATCATTGCACTGACTACAGATACTGAAACCAAACAAGCAACTAGCACAAGTCATGAATGGATCAGTTTCAGAGTACCTGTGTTCAATGCTGGTATTTCAGATTCTACAAAGTGCGTGGATAGTAATAACCCATGTGTACAATTAGTGTTGGAGGGAGCCAGACTGCAGTAATATCGCACAATCATTGGTCACATATGACATGATTACTACACACAGTGACAGACGTTAGTGAAAAGACACATCTAATCTGTAGCACACAGAGGGATAGGTCTTGCAATCATATAGCAATATTTATAACCTCAAGCGAGGTGAGGCAATGGCCTAGTGATATTACTGCTAGACTGTTAATCCAGTGACTCAGGTAATGTTCTGGGCACCTGAGTTAGAATCCTAGCATTGTAGAAGATGGAACTTGAATTTAATAAATATCTGGAATTAAGAATCTAACGATGACCGCGAATCCATTGTCAATTGTTGCGAAAAACCCATCTTGTTCACTAATGTCCTTTAGGGAAAGAAACTGCCATCCTTACCTGGCCTGGCCTACATGGACTCCAGTCTCACAGCAATGTGGTTGACTATTAACTGCCCTCTGGGCAATTGGAGATGGGCAGTAAATGCTGCCTAGCTAGCGATACCCACATCCTGTGAATGAATTAAAAAAAAGATATCTCAAAGTGCTTTACAGCTAATGATGTACTTTTGCAATGTGGTTACTTTTGTAAATGTGTAAAATGAGGCAGGCAATTTGCACATAAATTGAAGCGAAGTTTTAATTTACAGACAATGTGAATGTTGTCTCCATATAGTTTTCATTGTGTCAGTCCTGTTAGTTTGAAATTGTGATACCTTAAAAATATTTAACCTGGAGTCCAAAAGACCACAGCTCTGGAGAGACCTGGATTTTGCTGTCCTGGATACACAGTTGGCAAAGAACGGGCCACTGTTGTAATGTCAGAAGGGCAGCTGCCAAATTGTGCACAGCAAGATTCCACAAACAGCAATGCGACCCTGATCCAGATAATCTGTTTTAGGTTTCAGTTCAGGGCTAAATAATCACCCAGAAAATCTGGTAGAATTCCCCTCAATGATGAGTTCATCCAAAAGTCAGCATCTCTTGCAGTCAATGCAATACAACGATATAAACACAAAATCCAGACAAAGAGAGTGCTGCATAGTTGGAGGGGTTGTCTTGCAGCTGGGACATTAAGCCCAGGTTCTGTTTACTCTCTCAAGTGAAACATAGAACATAGAACTGTACAGGACAGGAACAGGCCCTTCGGCCCACGATGCTGTGCTAAACATGATGCCAAATTAAACTAATCCCTTCTGCCAAGCCTTGGTCCATATCCCTCCATTCCCTGCATATTCATGTGCTTATCTAAAAGTCCCTTAAACATCCCTATTACATCTGACTCCACCATCACCCCCAGCAGCACATTCTAGACTCCTACCAATCTCTGTGTAAAAAACTTGCCCCTCACATCTCCTTTGAACATTTCCCCTCTCATTGTAAATGCGTTCTCCCTAGTATTAGACATTTTAACTCCTGGAAAAAGATTCTGACCATCAACCTATCTATGCATCCCATAATTTTATAGACTTTTGTCAAGTCTCCCCTCAGCCTGTGCCACTCCAGAGAAAACAACCTGAGATTTTTTTAGCCTCTCCTTATAGCTCATATCCTCTAATCCAGGCAGCATCCTGGTAAACCTCTTCTGCACCTTCTCCAAAGCCTCCACATCCTCCCTGTAAAGTGACAACCAGAACTGAACATAATACTCTAAATGTGGCCTAACCAAAGTCTTATATAGCTGCAATGTGACGTCCTGACTCTTGTATTCAGTTCCTTGGATTTAAAAATCCCTGGGAAAATCTTGATGAAGAACTTGTGACTTCTTCCCAGTGACCCAGTCAATAAATATCTCTTCATCAACATCATTGACAAACAGGTTATCTGCTCATTATCATATAGCTCTGTGTTAACTGGCTGCTTCATTTTATACACAACTAAAGGAACCACTTTGCAAAAAGTGTTTCAGAAAGTTCTGAGATCATGAACCATGTTAAATACATTTTAATGTTTCTTTACAGCTCCATCTGAAATGGTCAAGGGACAGTGAATGGCTAAAACCACTGGACAGAAATTCACTGTTTGTCCCACAGCCTGATTCCTTCAACATTTCCCTCAGGCAGTCCAATAGAGATAGGGAACTGGTCTTGACCACGAGTGAAGAGTCTTCTATTCTGAACGATACAGAAACATTAAGAATAAATTGCCAATTCAGCACAATCAGAAGGCAAGCAAAGCAAACTTCAAACTAAAAATCTGGACTTACATGTCAGCCTGCGGGGACTGAGAAGTTGAAAGACATTAATTTCACTTTCCCAATCACTGTTCCTGCATCTGTGCTTTATCAGAATGATTTATATTTGGGAAAATCCTCTCTGTGTGCTGGGCTTCAAGAGTCTATGAGATGTAACTTTCTCTTGTTGGAGTTTAGATTGACAAATAAGCAGCAGATTGTGCTGTGCCTGGTCTCTCTGTACTTTGTGTTGCTGCTGGGTTGTGATGTGATAGGGGACTGTGCATTCTTTCAGTCGCCAATCACATATCCAAATCAATCTTGTAACCCGACTCTCACTGCGCTAGCAACCAGAGAAAAACTTACAAAAATCATCAGGGAACTTTTCATGTTGCTCGCAGACTGGCTTTTCTCAGTTTCACTTGAGGATTGGCTGCAACTGTTACGAGGAGAGAGAGAAAGAGAGAAAGAAAGATAAAGAGAGTAAGAAAAAGACAAAAAGAGACAGACAGAGGAGGAGACAGTGAATGCCAGACCAGAGCAGGGACAGAAACTGAGAATCAGTGAGGGACAGTCAGATAGACAGAGAGATAGGGTGTGAGACAGACAGATAGAGGGCAAGTGAAAGAGACGGAGAGACAGAAAGAGACGGTGTCAAGGAGAGAGAGGGAAAGCAGAGATAGAAAGAGAGAGATTATATGTAACAGGAGCTGGGTCAGAAGGGTTTTGACAATCGCCTGGTGGGATCAGCAAAGCTGCTTTCCTGTAAGAGCGTTGTGTTGTCAGGTCTGGGACTGGTTCAGAATCCTGTCTGAAGGTGGTTGGGAAAGGGCTGGAGGTAGAGCAGAGATAGACGCAGCATTCAAACAGAGCTTGCCAGCCCTTGCCCTGGGTTGAGAGAAAGGGAGGCACGGACAGTGGGTACAATGTGGCCGGCAGCTCTTGCTCTGAATTTACTTTGGGTTTCGGTCAGTCTGACTGGTCCCAGCAGCCAATGGCGAGGAGCAGACAGTCCACGTGGGCACTACCACCGTGTCCAACATGGGCAGTGCAGCTACACCTTTGTCCTGCCTTACCCAGGCCATTGCAGAGCCAGCATGCAGCAGCAGGACACCAATGCTCTCCAACGGGATGCCCCACCCAGTGAACCAGAAACCTCCTTCCAGAAACTCCGCCATCTGGAGACAGCCACAGAGAACAACACCCAGTGGCTGCTGAAGGTAGGATCCTTGATGCATTTATTCCTTACACGTGTCCCAGCCATCGCTAACTGCTCTGAGAATGTGCTTACTAGCTCTGTTCTTGGTCCATTACAGTCTGTGGCAGTTTGATATGACCCAAGACACTCAATAGACAGTGAAGAGTTAACCATATTGCTGTCCCTTTATTTAAAAAGGGAAGGCAACAATAATGTATAACTGTAGGCCACCCAACACCTTTTATCAGGAAAATGTTAGCGTCTATTATGAATGATGCAATAGCAGAACATTTAGAAATATATAATTTTATCAAAAAGAGTCACCTATGATGCTGCTTGGCCTGCTGTGTTCATCCAGCTCTACACCTTGTTATCTCATGAAGGGGAAGTACTGTCTGATAAATTTATTTAAATTATTTGAGGAGGTAACAAACCAGATAGATAAAGGGGAGCAGTGGGTGTAGTTTAGATTTTTGGAAGACTTTTGGTAAGCTATTGCACATAAGGCTACTTAATAAGCTAAGAGCACATGGTATTGGGGGCAGTATATTCACATGGATAGATGATTGACTCACTAACAGAGGACAAAGTGTTGGGGTAAGGGGAACATTTTCAAGACAACAACCTGTAACTACTAGAGTGCCTCTGGGATCAGTGCTGGGGCTATGGTTATTTACAACATATATTCATGACTTGGTTGAGGGAAGTGAACGTACTAAAGCTAAGACTGAGGTTGACACAAAATAGGAGGGAAAGCAAGTGGTTTGCATTAATGACTTGAATGTGAATGTAGATGGTATAATTAACAAGTTTCAGATGATACAAAAATTGGTGGTATTGTTGATAGTGAGGACAATGATCTACAGTCAGGTATTAATTAGTTGGTAAATTGGGCAGAGCAATGGCAAATGGAATTTAATCCTGATAAGTGTGAGGTAATGTATTTTGGGAGGTCCAATAAGGGAAGGATATACACAATGAATGGTAGGTCCCTAGGGAGTAATGAGAAACAAAGGGACCTTAGTGTACAGGTCCATAGATCTCTGAAGGTGTCAGCACAGGTAGACAGGGTGGTGAAGAAGGCATATGAGATGCTTACCTTCATTAACCAGGCATAGAATATAGGGGCAAGGAAATCTTGTTACAACTATACAAAACATTAGTAAGGCCGCAGATGGAATACTGTGTACAGTTCTGGTCACCACATTATCAGAAGGATATGATTGCACTAAAGAAGTTGCTGAGGAGATTCACCAGGATGTTGCCTGGGATGAAAAGTCTAGTTATGAGGAGAGACTGGATAGGCCGGGTTTGTTTTCCTTGGAGCAGAGGAGGCTGAGGGGGTTATCTGATTGAGATTTACAAAATTATGAGAGGCATAGACAGAGTAGATTGTGAGAAACTTTTCCCCATGGCAGACATATCTCAGGTCAGAGGGCACGAGTTTGAGTGAGGAGCAAATGGTTTAGAGCAGATCTGAGAAAGAATTTTTTCACCTAGAGGGTAGTAGACATATGGACTGTGCTGCCTGAGAGGGTGGTAGGGGCAGGTACTCCTGCAGTAATTAAGAAACATCTAGATGAGCATTTAAAATGCCAGGGCAGAGTAGGTTATAGACCAAGTGCAGGTAAACGGGACTAGTGTAGTTTGATGTTTGTTGCTCAGCACAGACATGGTGGGCTGAAGGGCCTGTTCATATGCTACATGACTGCATGACTGATTCTAGGATGACACAAAGAGTCTACAGAGGAATGTAGAGGCTAAGCAAGTGTCAAAAACTTGGCAGATTATTTAACTTGGAGAAAGTCTGCTGGAAAGGGTTTAGGAGTCCTCACACATAAATCTCAAAAAAACTAGCATCCAACTTCAATTGGCAATAGGGAAAACGCATGGAACTTTGGCCTTTACTTCAAAGGAAATGGAGTATAAAAATAGAGAAGTTTTGCCAAAATTATACCAGGTAGTAGTCAAACCACAGCAGGAATACTGTGAGCAGTTTGGGCCCATTATCAAAGGAAAGATAGACTGAAATTGGAGGCTGTTCAGAGAAAGTTCACTTGGCTGATCCGAGGCATGGATGGATTTTCTTATGGGGAGAGGTTGAGTAGGTTAAGCCTGTACTCACTGGAGTTTAAAAGAATGAAACATTTAGGGACAGGGTAGATATGGAAAGTTGTTTTTTCCCTTATGGGGGTTTCCAGGACCAGAGATGCATCATCTCAGATTAAGGGGTCACCCATTTAAGGTAGTGATGAGGAGAAATTTCTTCTCAGATGGCAATGAACAAATGGAGCAGGCTTGCTGGACTGAACGGCCTATTTTTGCCAGTATGTCTTATGCTGTTTTGGGTTATGTGAGACCAGAGTCTTATATAAGCCTAAACCAGAGAAGGGTGATGCGCTCCAGTAAGGTACTGAGGGTGTGTTGCACAGTCAGAGAAGCTGTCTTTCAGATCCAATGCTAATCCATGACTTGCCTGCCCTCTCAGGTGGCTGTAAAATGATTCCATGCCAATGAATCTCAGGCAACTATCCCCAGGATTCTGGACGTTACTTATTCCTCAATGATGAGCACTAAAAGCAGATTGTCCATTAGCACGACACTGTCAACGGGAGTTTGTTGAGGGGAATGGATTTAAACCCATGGCTAGTTAGAGTTCCCATTCATTTCCTGGGACAATGTTTACTATTTAATATCACTAGGAAGTTGGGTCACAAAGTCCTTTGGGATTAGGTGAGATAACAAAAGGAGTTTTCCTTCATTATTTCTGTTTCTTTCTTGTCCTTCTGGTTAATTATCCACCTGATCAAATGCCCCTCTGGTCAAATGCCCTCTGATCCAGTGTCCCACTGATTCAATGTCCTACTAATGGCTCCTTTGGGTAAACCTGCTCTTTCTGGTGGTTTAAGTAAGGCTCTGATCCTATGATGGATTCCCTCATATTCAAGATTAGCAGCTTGGGAATTCCCAATACCAGGATTGTCAGTGGCCAGGGAAGATCCCAAAGCCATCTTGTAAAATCTGGTTCACTCATGACCTAAAGCCACAGAAAATCTGCCATCCCTATCTGATCTGGTCCGTACGTGACTCCTGACCCACAGTAGCATTTTAGCTGTTCTCCAAAAGAAAGTAGGCCATGCAGTTCAAGGGCAATTAGGGTTGGGCAACTCATGCTCTCCTAATGACTCCCACAACCCACGATAAAAAAGCAAACAAAATTAATCCTAGCTACGTTGTAAATTATTTCATGGGATGCGGGTATCACTGGCTTGGCCATTATTTATTGCCCGTCCCTAATTACCCTTGAGAATGAGGTGGTGAGCTGCCTTCTGGAAGCATGTGGTGTGCCCTTGGGGAGGGAATTGCAGGATTTTGACTCAGTGACACTGAAGGAACAACGATATATTCCCAAGTCAGGATGGGAAGTGTGGTGTATAATGGAGATGTCAGCTCCAACATGTTACCAGATGAGAGCAGGAAGTCTGGTGGTTTCACCCAGTTAGCTGGTTAAGAAATAACCAGATACTATTGGCAGTGCATCTGGGATTGTCGCTCAAATGGCCAGATACACAGTATTCACTTAAAACTAATCATGTGGGATTATTAAAACATCTCACCAATGCACCTCCAGTTACAGTTCCTTCTCCCTGTGATTGACAGGGGGATATCTGTGCTTGATCACACAGAGAGCTGTTCCTCCTTCACTGATGTCCTGGAAGCAATCCCAAGTATGGGGCACAGCTCACCACCACCACCACCCACACCCCAAACAAGGGACAACAGATGATACAAAGCTAAAATTTACAAGGCTGAGATTGATAGATTTCTGACAGGTAAGGTCATCAATGGAGATAGAGCAAAGATGGCTAAATGGTTCTGTGATAAACCAATGAACTCTGGAAGGGAGGTGACTGGCTGAATGGTCTCCTGTTCTTAGGTTAACAGGCTGTGATATAATTCTTCTGTGTCAAATATTAAGGAAGGCAAGAAAATAACTACTTGGAATAAAAGCTGACACTGTGAAATTGGGCAAAGAAGAGATTTTTGTGTGACTTTGTGAAGGTGACAGGCTCCCACAATAACACAGGAAGTAAGGATGAGCATGAGAATCACAAAATTGTTACAGCACAAAAGGAAGTCATTCAGCACCCCCCGTGCTTGCATTGACTCTTCAAATGAACATCATTACCTAATGACACACCTACATGCCCTTACACATTATTTCTGTTTAAATACTCCTCCAATGTCCTCTTGAATGTTTCGATTGAACCTGCACCCATCACATTTCCAGAAGTGCATTCCAGGCCCTAGCTACTCGCTGTGTGAAAAAGATTTTTCTCACATCACATTTGCTTCTTTTTAAAATTACTTCAAATCTATGCCGTCTCGTTCTTGTTACTTTTACAAGCAGGAACAGTTTTTCTCGAACCCCTCTGTCCAGCCTGCCATTGATTTTGAAGACCCAATTCAATTTCCTCTTAATCTTCTCCGTTCCAAAGAAAATAAAGAACCTCAACTTCTTCAGTCTATGCTCAGAACTGAAGTTCCTCATTCCTGTAAATCTCTTCTGCACTCTATACAATGCATTCACATCTTTCCTACAATGTGACGACTGCAACATTATACAGTCCCCCAGCTGAAGAAAGGGAGGGAGAATGCTTGAGAACCAAAGAATGTGAAATCATTAGAACTAAGAGCAAGAATAGGCCATTCATAGAGTCATTGAGTCATATTGTACTAAAACAGACCCTTCAGTGCATTATGTCCATGCCAACCAAGCTCCTCAAATTAAACTAATCCCCATTTGCCTGTGTTTGGCCCATATCCCTCTAAACCTTTCCTATTGATGTATCTGTCCAAATGTTTTTTGAATGTTACGACTATACCTTCATCTACCCCAGCCACAGTTGATTTTCTACCTCCACTCTCATTTTCCTGCTCTATCCCTATATCCTTTAATTTCCAAAAACAGATACATGATTTGCTCTTCTTCCTATCTTTGCCTTTCATATCCTTATACAG